AGAGCGGTATGGGTGATGTCATAGCAGCGCGACGACAGGAAGTAAGCTCCTGGGCTGCGGTGCTGCGCGGAGTCCCGAGCTCCTGAGTCTGACAGCACCGCGATCTCCTCTCCCATCTTCTTCTCGCCGCCATGGATAATGCCTGCGAGTCGCCCACGGAAAAAGGTGGAGAGACAGGGGAGTCAGATGAGACGGCCGCTGCTCCTGGAGGCCCGGGGGTTACTGACACGGACGGAATCCCGGAGGAAACTGACGGAGATGCAGATGGGGAATTGAAAGAGGCCTTGGCTGAAGAAGGCGAGGTAGGGAGAGATGTGTTGATGAGGCCGGAGGAGTTGTGTCACTGGCTGCTTGTCAGGCTTCTTGGTTGGTCCCTCCCAAGCTAAGATAGTCGAACTCACTATGACCCTTTAGATCTGCCATCGCGGGGTTGGGGGGAGAGAGGAGACAAAACCTTCAGAGCCGGTTCAGTTCCAGAGACCCAAGCACTGGGTCAGTATTTTAAATTCCTGCCCTTAGGCGTTAAAGCTACTTCTAAGGGAATTTCAAATTGCCTCTTGGTTTTCCTGGTGAGGAAATTGAGGTCAATGCCAATCAGCACTGAAACTTAGGGCAAAAGCTAGAACCCAGGATTCCTAGTACCACTTTCACCCCAATATGGTTTCTTAGATATTGCTTAAGTGTAACTTTGTCATTATAGGCTGCAGAGTCGTTAAAGGGAGACTTTGAGGTAGTTACTAATTTAGTCACGTTCTTATCCTCTTCGGACATTTAACTGCTACCAGTGACCTGGGTGCTAATGTCCAAGGGTCTTTATAGCACCAAACCTATCAATTGTGCCATCCCAAGAGTTCAGCAATGTTGCCTCGCTGAGCATCAGTCAGGATACTAGAATCTCAGCGTTCTCTAGGTTCCATTTCTAAAGGTAGAATCTTGGGGTCTGTTTGAATGTAAGTGTGAGAGCATGGGTGAAGACATTGAATTAAATGGAAACAGCCTTTCAGAGCATAAAGTTGTATCAAAATATATAAAGAAAAATGAAAAAGAAAAAAAAGTGTGACAAAACTACTCTAAGAAGGAACTTTTAAAACAGATCTCAAGGACAGAAAGGATTTAAGTAATAATTAGCTTAGTCCAGTAAAAAGCTCACTACATACAGAAATTTGCACCTAGAAGATAAAAAAAAATTTCTGATGCTTGTGAGACACTTTTTTAAATTGATCATATACCAGACCACAAAGAAAAGCATAAATTCTTAAAAGTAGAAATCATAACAGATCATATCCTGTTAGTACAGTGCAATAGAACCTGAAATTAAAAACAAAAATTTCTCCCACTCCCACTCCCTCCAAAAAACTAACACCTGGACATTTTAAACTAGTTTCTAAATAGCCTTTGGATTAAAGAAATTAACAAAGAGAATGCCACATCAAATCCAATGGGATTTGACCAAAACTTTATTTAAAGAAAAATTCGTAACCTTACATATTTTTACTAACAAACAAGAGATATTGAAAATAAGCACCCAGCTCAAGAAACCAGAAAAAGAACAAAATAAACCAGAAGAATGTAGGAGCAAGGAATTAATCAGGATGAAAGTAGATGTTAATGAATTAGTGCTTTAAAAACATAAACAATAAAATTAAGACCTGGTTATTTGAAATGTAAATGTACAACATTATGAAATAAGAAAGGGCTATAGGCACTGATACAGAGATCTTTAAGCTTTAAGAAAATTTGATATTCAAGTTTAGAACAAGTAATTTTGAAACTTCAAGAAAAATGGCTCATTTTTAAGGATAATATAAATCACCAAAATTGAAGCACAAAGAAGTTAGATAATTTGTATATATCAGTAACTAGAGAAGAAGTTGAAAAGGTTGTTAAAGATTTACTGCCTTCACTCTCAACGTAATTCTCATATTCCTGTATGAGTTTAAATGTGAGCTTCTCTTTAAGGAAACAGAAGTTAAATCTCATTAATGAGGTTTGTTGTATCCTTAGATTCTATATTGTCAGAGGGGATGAAGTTTGGATTTTTTTTTGTTGTCATTATTAAACAGATATTAAACATCTAGTATGAGTAAAACAATGGTAAATATTTATGTGAGGAGAGATAAATAAGAGACAAACCTATCTTCAAAAAGTTGTCAGTCTAGGGGCTTCCCTGTTGGCGCAGTGGTTAAGAATCCGCCTGCCAATGCAGGGGACACGGGTTCGAGCCCTGGTCCGGGAAGATCCCACATGCCGCGGAGGAACTAAGCCCATGTGCCACAGCTACTGAGCCTGCGCTCTAGAGCCCGCGAGCCACAACTACTAAGCCCGCGTGCCTAGAGCCCGTGCTCCGCAACAAGAGAAGCCACTGCAATGAGAAGCCCGTGCACCGCAACAAGGAGTAGCCCCCAATTGCTGCAATGAGAGAAAGAACGCGCACAGCAACAAAGACCCAATGCAGCCAAAAATAAATTAATTAAAAGAGCTAAAGAATAAATAACTAAAGTTATCAGTCTAGTAATGGGAAGTAAATATTTGCATGATACAGTGGTATTGAAAGATAGGAAGAAAAGAGCCCTACATGTGGGAGAAGCTCACTTAAAAGTCCCAAATTCAAAAAAACACTGCTTTGATGAGAAGGTGCCTCCTTTTTAATATTCTTTCCACATGGAATCATCATCAGTAAAGAGATCTATAGATTTAGACGAAGAAGAGCTGGCTGGGTGGAGAGGACTTTTATGACATCCCCTCTAAAGAATGAGGTCAGAAGAAGAGGATCAGGGAGAGAGTGGTTTTCGTGACCCTTGGCACTACATTGCCCTTGTAAACAGATAACTGGAACTAGGATCATAGCTAACCTGGAAAACTGGACTATTTAGTAGGTTTTCTTTCCACAGCTGGGCTGAAAACTCCTTTAGGAGAGACAGGGTAGCTTATATTTGATGGTACAGCCAATGCCTGGAACCAAAAACTACAGAAATAAGTGGATTTGTTGTGTTGTAATGAGAAATGATGTCTTCTTACCTTACCCAAGTCTGGGAAGTAGACCAAATATATAAAGGGTTTCTTTTGTCTTGTTAGCTCAAGAGTCAGGATATCTCAGATTTAACAGCAGTTGAAAGGGAAGACTCATCATTACTTACTCCTGCAGCCAAAAAACTGAAAATAGATACCAAAGAAAAGAAAGAGAAGAAGCAGAAAGTGGATGAAGATGAGATTCAAAAGATGCAGTAAGTCACTTTTCTGATCTTTCCCCTTTCAAGGCTCTAACCTGACCACACAAAGTTAATACATTTTTCTTGTCCTTAATTTTTTTTTCTTTTTTAAACTCAAAAGAAAATAAAGCAATTAATATTGTATTATGTTATGGTATAGAAAATATAAGTAAAAAGAAAAATATCACCATACCACCAAAATAAACACTGTTAATATTTTGATGTATATTCACCAAGATATTTTCTTTACACATATAAATCTATAAATTAAATTAAAAATTTCAAAGATGTTAAGGACTGTTTGTAACCTGTTTTCCACATTATATATGGTAAATGTTTTCCATGTCAATAATTATACATCTAGGTCATCATTTTCTTCAAAATGGAAATAGCTTCATTATGTTTTCTGATTGTAAAAATGGTATGGGTTCATTGCAAATAATTCAGAAAATACAGAAAAATAGAAAAAATAATTACTTATAATTCCACCACCCAGAGTTTACCCAGGGTATATATTTGGGTATATACCTTTTCAGATATATTCTTTAATGTTTGCTATATCAGTATATAGCTAAATATTTTCATGTCAGTAAATATGCCCATAAATCATCATTTTTAATGGCCACATTGTATTCCATTATGTGGATGAACTATGATGTAACCTATTTCTGTAGTTCTGGGGTTTTTTTTTTCCTCTTTTGACAACATTATGATCAACATCTTTGAGCACATTTTTGCATACTTGTCCATTTACTTCCTAAAATAAACTCCTAGAAGGTAATTGGTAGTTTAAACAGTATGAACATTTTCAAAGGATTTTCATTTGTATTTCCAGATTCTCCACAAAGGTTGTTCCACCTCACAGTCTACCAGCATGTATGAGTTTGTGTCCTCCCATCCTCACTAATAACCATGCTTTTTAATACTTCTTTATCTGTTTTATGAAAAATGTTAATCCTTCTTTAGTTCATCATTTTAATTTCTTTAGTTAATACTAAAGCTTAAATTTTTTCCTCTCTATATATTGGCCATTGGTATATTTTATAAATTTCCTATTCACTTCCTTTGCTCATTTTCTAAAATTGGTATGGCCATCTTTTAATTTATTTGAAAATTTAACTATATATTAAGATTATTAACCCTTTTCCATATATTTTATAAAATTTTCCCTTAATCTGTTAATGTTGGAAACTACTGGTTTGAATATAAATTTACATATTAAATTTTTATCTTTAATGTGAAGTGCAGTGAGGTAGCCTTATGGGGAGAGAGAGCCTAATGCTGAAAACATAACCTGTATAGTGTGATTCAGTGACCCAACATTGTTGTTTTTGTTCTTCGTGAAGTAAGAAAGGAACTTGCATTTCACTTATCGTCAAGTTCCGTAAGAGTAGAGATGCTTTCTCTTCATTCCTCATAGACACTAAGCCTAATACTGTTGATCCCTTGAAAATTTTATTTTTTAAATATCTGAGACTTGCTTTTATTGACATAATAATATATATCTTAAGTATTCATTCTTATAAGTGAACTTAATTACCTGAATCTTTGTCTAGAATCCTGGTTTCTTCTTTTTCTGAGGAGCAGCTGAACCGTTATGAAATGTATCGCCGGTCAGCTTTCCCTAAGGCAGCCATTAAAAGGGTAAGGATGGACTACCACACTCACTTCCATGAGCTAGGAGAACTGAATGAGACTCAAGAGCTGTATCCATTGGCATTTTGAAGTGAGGTGTTAGGCAAGTTGGTGGAACATTTAGGCAGGAAAATAAAAATAGCATATGCCCCTCAATAATCTGACCAGTTGTAATTTTGTATTCTAGGGATAGGGTCTCAACAAATAAAAGAGGCCATTATACACCTGAATCCTTTTGTTTTACTGGTGTCAATTTCAGATCCAGCCTTTAGGGAACTCTTTCAGTGCAGAGCTCTATGGGTACTATGTTCCAAAGCCAGTCCTTGACTACCTTAATCACAGTCTTTTGTCCTTCTTTCAAGCTGATCCAGTCCATCACTGGTACCTCTGTGTCTCAGAATGTTGTTATTGCTATGTCTGGTATTTCCAAAGTTTTCGTCGGGGAGGTGGTAGAAGAAGGTGAGTGGTGTTAGTCTAAATACTGGATTGAGCCTGTGGTGGTCTTATTTCCAAGAATATCTATAGTGAGGGACTTATTAAGGCACCAGTGGTGGTTTCCATTTACACTAGAAAGGGAGCCTTGCATTCAGGAGAGCATGAACATTATTCCTTGAAAGTTTCAATACTGGAAGGCCTGGAAACATCTAGGAAATCTGCCCTCCTGATTCCTGTCCTCAGCCCAGGGTGACAGAAGCAGACTTTGTATTTTCCTCCAGTTAATTTTGCTCATTTCTGCTGCCAAAAGTAAAGATACAAAAAAGAGCAGTCACTGGGGCTGACCAGTGTGGTATGGTGAGTAGTTGTCCCTGATGTTATGATCCCTGGGAACTGCCCCCTGTCCATCAAGTAAAGAACCTGGCTGCTGCCCATTGCTAATTTCTAGCTGGTGAAATACCTATTCTTTTAAGGAGAAGATATGTTTTAAACTGTTGCCTATGATAAAACCTGACGTGGGATATACTAAAGCTAACATGATACATTTTATAGCATTCTCTTAAGAAGGGAAAATGTGTTGGTTTATTTCTTTAGCAAGCTTAAGAAGAGTTAATGAGAATTACAGGACTCAGAAGGATTGTAATACATAAGCTCTTGTGTGATAATGAAACTCTCTCCTTGCCCTCTGTTTAGCACTGGATGTGTGTGAGAAGTGGGGAGAAATGCCACCGCTACAACCCAAACATATGAGGGAGGCTGTTCGGAGGCTGAAGTCGAAGGGGCAAATTCCCAACTCGAAGCACAAAAAAATCATCTTCTTCTAAACCACAGTCTAGAAGGGCCTGGTACTGAGGGAAGAAGTACTCATTCCAGACTTCCTATTGCATGAGACTCTCTGCACTGGTGCTTTAGTATCTCAGTCCTCGAAGGATTCCATGATGCTTTAATCTCTTCCTCAAAACTCTCAAATTCATTATACCTTGAAGGCATGCAGCCTGTTTTATACTTGCCTTGACTAAATATTGGGACCGCTGAGGGCATTCTGAGGCATTTAACTATTACTGGATAGTTGGAAGAAGAAAGGTTGATGAACCTTAAGCATCTTCTGGACAGGAATGCTGCTTTCAGAAAGAAAACCCTCCCAAGACGGTTTGACGGTTTCACATTGAAGCCTGAAGTTGCAATGACTTAGGTTGTTTCTTACATTTGGTTTTAAGTAAATGAAACAATCAGAAACTTTTGACTTGTGATACTCTACCGTGAAGGACACGGTGACAGCAGGAGTAGTGGAATAGTCTGTCCTTGTAAACATTGGTGAGTGATCATTAAACTGTTTTCCAACTTGCCATGTGTGCATTCATTTTCTGTCTAGCAGGTTGGAATGGTGGGGAGAAGTTCATCGTTCTTTTTTGGTGTCAGAATAAAACTGGTCTTGGCTTTTTTGTGAAAATTTGAGCCCTCCCCATTTCCTACCGGAACCATTAAAATTTTATCTCATAAAAGAGTACTTAAAGTACTTAAAAACAATGTAAAAACCCATATGTTTCAATTGCTATAAACAGATATACCAGAACCAATACTGTTTAATAAGTTTAATTTGCTTTTTTCAAGTGGTTCACAGAACCAGTACACTCAAGGTTTGATTAGATACTGCAACATTAATATTTCCCAATACTGACCAATATTCCAGTTCATTGGATACATTCTCATTGTTTTCCTCACGTAGAGGGGAATGGAGTGACCTTTTATTGACAGTGATTAGCAGTAATAAGGCTACTGTAATATAATTGGCAATCTCCAAGAATTCTTTCCTCTCAATCATTTGGTGTCATAAGGAGAGGGGTTTTGAAGCTGTTCTCTTTTGAAGCTTTCCTGAGCATGTCTTAGTAAAGATTCCAATTCTGTTTAGCACCCTGAATAGGGAAAACAGCTTGGACACACAAAGTTGGGCAAATATGGATTTTAGTATCTTACGTTAAAACTCATGGCTTTAAACGTGTAGTTAGCCAATGGAGAAGACACTTCAGTAGTGTATTCCACAAAGAAATGCTGTAAGACTCAGGCTAAATCTTGACCAAAAACTAATATATTGAACGGAGAAACAAAAACAGATCTCTCAGCTCTCAGAGGGAGTTTTTAAGTGGTTATAAGAACTATACCTATTGCAATTTGAGATACTGGATATGGCTGAAATTTACAAATAATAAAGAAGGAAGTTCACATCCCAAGTCTAGCCACTTAGCAAAGCCTCACAGTTTAAGGTTATCTGAGAGTGTTTCCCCTTGTATCTGTTGTAAGAGAGGGAAAAAATAATCCCCATTCAACAACAGCTACTATCCATACCTACCCAGAGGTGAATGGGAATATTCCTATTCTAGCAGAAGGTGGGGGAAGATCCTGGGGAAGGCCATAGTCCCTGAAAGGATAGGACATCACACCAGAATCTCTTGAAACAGTAATTACTAAGGTAAATCACAAGGCAATGACACAGCTCTTGCAGTTCTCAAATAACCATCCTCCTAGCTTGTGTAGCAATGTTGTTTCCATAGTTTTGTGATATTACTATAACTGTTTTTGGAAGTTTAGGCAAGTATTAAATAGGGGAGAGAGAAAAAAAAACAAACCCTTCGTTTAAAGGTTTGGAATGGAAACTTCCCGTATCACTATGTTCAAACTATCTCTTCTTTCCACTACCCCCTGAACTAGCCTATGGGGAAACTGATGTAAATGGGTTAAATGGAAGCATTTAAGTTATGGGGTATGTGAGGGGTGGCTTATCCCTTGTATATTCCATAGACAGGAACCATTCCTTTCAGAACCGTGAAAAAGGGTATGTAAAGGTTGAGGCCTGTGGCCAAATGAGGGTCAGATTCAATACACAGCAAAAAGCAGCCATCATGAGAATAGAACCTACTCCTTCTGTCCTAAGTCTAATAAACTAGGTTAATTATTCCAGTGAGTTGAAAACAGAATTTGAGATTGATAACCGTCCCTGCAGCTCAGCTAAGAGAGATTTAAACCAGTCCATATGCACTAAAGCACATCTCTAGTATATCTGTGTAAACAGGAACTCTAGACAATCATAGATGATACATAGGTGTAAATGCTTCACAGCTGAAATGGTGATGTGCGGTGGCTGAAGCCTTTTGAGGGATAGCGGTGCTATCACTCCAGACATTTTCTTGAGGTATTGTTATCTCTTGTTCACAGAGTCTTAGAGCTCCAAGGCAGAAATTGTAAGCAGTCCAAAGGAGCTGATACTACTATGTTTTCCTTCTGTCTTTTTCCTTTACATTTATCCTGAGGACTACCAACAAGGTCACATTTCTTCATTATGAAAGTCATTCTTCCCCCAATGAATAGGAGTATGAAGTTATACAAGATGATTTTTACTAAAATTCCATGGGACATTGACCACCAACCACATTTCCTGAGGCAGGAACTTCAAGACACAATGCCCAAAGCTGTCACATAAGGAAATTCAAATTCTAGGGCTCCATTTGTCACATGGACAGGAGCGTCAGAGAGCCCAGAAACCTGACTGAGCTCTGCTCATTAAAGGGGTGAGCCTCAGTGCTTGCCAGATTTGTTTCTATTGCCTCCCACCAAGCACAAGCTTAAAGTGAGGGTGTACCAAGCAATTCTTTGCATGGAGGGACACAGTGGGTTGAAGAGGAGGGGAAGGGAAGAGAATCAGAATGTGATTTTATACCAATTCAGGTGAACATAAGGTTGAATAATTCTATTTTCTGGCTACTGGCTCTCCCTCCTTGCCCTTTAAACACATTAGAAATGCCGTACTTGAGAGGAGCGGTGATTCTTTTTGTTCATCATTCTGCCTTTGAAAGAGGCACTTAAGGGGGAGTCTGTGGAGGGATGCAGTTACCCTCTCCGTTGTATATCACCAAATAGCCCTAGTTTTCCATAATTCCTCTTGGAAAACCACCATGCACGGATTCCTCTTAAACCTTCTGTACCCATACAGTTTCTGCCAGCACCACTTCTTGAACAATGACCTCTAGAAGTTTCTGATTTGCTACGAGAAGTGCTTTCTTTTACCTAAGGCTAATAGGTACAGCCCTAGATTTTGGGACCTGAAGAACATGTCCCTGCTCTTGACTGAATATCTGATCTAACACTACCCTCAGCTTTCATCTTTCCAGAACTGGAGCTAACATTTTAAAGATGTGTCCACATGTGGAAGTACCTTCACCACCTGATAATTTTTGCTGTTCTCTGGACCTTTCCTCTCTTCACCACATACTTTGTAAATAAGGTCACTAGAAGTGCACAGATAATTTAAGACATTACCATGGGCTTGCAAGAGGTGCTGTTTTCTGTGTTGGCTCCACGTGCCCTTCCTGATGATGCAGTCAGGCTTTTGGCCACAGCAGCACACTGACCCCTCCTCCCTCTCAGCAATGCTTAGGTTTCTTTCCTGAGTTCTAACAGAGCTCACTGCCTCGCTGGTTGCTGATTCTCCCATAAGTGCGTTACTTCACACTTACACAGAACCTCATCTGTCACTTTCCTGAGTATTCACAGCCCAGTCTGTGAATCTTCTGCAATTTCACTTTTTTTTTTTTTTTTCTATTTCTTCTGATTTATCTTTCACTACCTGGAAGCAGTGACACTTGACTGGACCGTAATATCCTACTTTCAGGTTATTTATAAAATTCTTAAATAAGGTTAAACCAAGCATCAACCCATAGGGAAATTACCCTGTTAACATTCTCTCTAGAAAGGTGTTTATTTTTAAGTCTCTACGTTGTTTCCTAAGCATGACAGAACATTCCCATAATCTCATAGTAATTGTGTTTAAGATTGCCTTAGTGACGAACCACAACAAAAAGTCTGTAAAAGTCTGAGCAAATTAGATCTTGTTCCTTCTTGAACACATCTTTCTTTTTATCCTCAAAAAGCTAGAATATACAAGTCAGGCATGATTTCCCATAAAGGAAACCATTTTATCTTTCCTTCAGTAGGTCATGTGTGATTAAGACTTTAGTGACACTACTAAATCACTATTTTGCCATCTTGCCAATTCAAGGTGAGTTAGCTGATGAACTTCTGTCCAACACAGCTTGAAGTATATCACAGAGCAGTATGGATAAAGATAGAGTGTTGGTAAAGAATTTGGTAGTAAAGAAAGAGGGGGAAATAGCTCTTTCATCAGGCAGGGGCAAAACCTAGCTAGGTTGAAGGGTTTTGTTTTGCTCTGTCTTTTACTTAAGTCAAACTAACATGATTTTAAAAAGCCACAGTGATAGAGGGGGGTGAGAGGAAACAGGCTGAGATGTTAATGTTACAGTTTAAAACACATTTTTAGCTCCCAAACCACCAAGTGCTAATGAGAGTGCTGGTAGAAAGTCATAGTGCTGGAAAAGCAGATGCGCCAGGGACCCCGGGGAGACAGGAAATAACCTGTGAGGTGCAGCTGTGGAAGAGAGACAGGACACGGCCAGCAACAGCGGCGCAGAACCAAGCTCCCCTACAGATCCTCACCATGTCATGCCTTCAACCTAGCTCAGGGTGAATAGTTTCTTCTTAAATTTCAAATAAATTACATTATAGAAGGGAAAGATGATACAAGTGAGCTGCTACTGTTGTTTACTTCCTACCACAGCATCACAGCGATGAAAGCATCACAGAAAGAAAGCTTAACCCTGAAAAATCTGATTGTAATATGAGCCAAGATGACATGAGCTTGGTTTCCTTTCCAAACAAGGCAGAATCCATGTCTCATTTATTCTTGTGCCTCCCCAGGTTCCCGCCTTGCTGGCTATTTCCTGTTCCACTCTACTACTGTGGCTGAAGCTCAGGCCAAGGACTTCTCAGGTCCACTACAGGAAGCTCTGGAACATAGAATCTTTGATGGCTCTGTGGGTGACCAACTGAGGAGATGGGTACTCTGCCTTGTTCACACAGGTGGAGCAAGCAAATGTCTCTGCTATGAAACCAGACGGTGAAATGACCCTACAGTGTTGAGGAGATTTCACCTAGTGTGCAGAGGGCCAAAAGGCTTTATACAGGAAAGACGTGATGCCTGAGCCACGCACAAAGCTGCCCCCAACTTCCTGGAACGTGGTAATACTTTGCCCTGTCTTCCATCCAAGTCAGGACTGCCAGTAGAAAGGACACCAGGAGGAGTGAGTTGAGCATCCTTAGCTGACTTGTCCAACACTGGACGGTGCCTGTCGCAGGTGGTGCGATTGCTGGTCATCTCCTCCTCTCTCCTTGGCACGGATGGCTGAGCCATTGCTGTCAGAGCTCAAAGAGGGGGTTATATTTCCTAATCTCCTGAAGAAGTTTCTCTTTATCCTGGTTGGCATGAGCCAATGCTTGTTTAGTTTCTATAAGTTCCTTTTGTAAGGTAGGCAGTTCTTGTACCTGAGGAACAATTAGTAATTCACAGTGAATGAATAAGGTAACACACCTTGCAGAAACATCCAGTAAGGGAACGAGGAGTAAGAATTCAAGCAGAACAACCCACAAGTTTGGTCAATGATCAAGAAAACCCAACTAGATATTTCCTAAGAGCCTAAACCCCTCTTCAGAGTTCATCAGTTGCAGGGACAGCAAAAGGTAGAAGATGTCATCAGCAACTATTCACCTCCAGCTCCTGACTTACATCCTCTGTTCAGCACTTCTAGAAGGTGCTGCTAGGTGACAGGAGCCCAGACCACCCAGCCGTACCCAGCACAAGCAACCTTTTCAGCCCTCTGAGTTTTACCCGCCTCTGTGATTACAGCCCCTAAGGGTTTCTGGGAAAGGTACTGTTCAGTTATATCCTCACCTGTGGACCAAAAGCCTCCCCTGTGGGCACAGGAAACACCTGTTCTTTTGGGGGCTGCCTCTTCTCACTTTTAAGTACTTCGGCTGATGGTCTGTCCTGAGCAGCAGCTGAAAAAAGTAAAGTAAAGCAGTTTTTAAAAAAGCAAAATGACAAGCTTCTAAATGACAAGCTGCCAGCAACATGCAAACTATTCCTAGTTGTCACCTATTCCTTTACAGGAGCAAAAAGGCAGAGAAGCCGGGAGGCTGACAAGCCCAACTCACCGCCTATGTGGAACACACCATCGTCACTCCGCTTCAGCACAACGTGCTCCACGGCTAGAGTGATGGGGATGGGGCCTGGAGAGGTCGGATAGATGGGGGGGATATCGTCCTATAGGAAAGAGAGAAACCACATGATGCCCCCAACCAGCTCAGAGCAACTGAGGTAACAAGCCATGCTTCTACCATTGAGCTAGAAGCACTTTTATGTCAAATGTATGTTTATCCATACATTCTTGCAAGATGTGAGAGGCATAATTGAGTCTCTCCCACTCTAGAGGTGGTGAGACTGAGGGCCTGATAACCTAATGGGCTTGCACAGTCGTGCTGCATATGCCAAGGGTCAGGGCTAGAGACAAGATCCCCTCAGCTGAACTCAGCACTCTTTGCCAGCAACACATTTTTATGTACTACTGTAACACTGACAAAGAATGCTAATATGCATTTCCTCACTTGATCCTCATTACATTTTACAGGGACAGGAGAAGAAGTTAACAGCCATCACTGCCAGAATTCCTTGCCTGACAAAGTCTAGGGTAAAACCCAAAAGTTCCTCTCACCTTTAGAGTGATCCTGGAGTTCAGGAGCTCAATCTGCATGGGAACTACCAGTGGGATCTCCTCATCCTCCAAGAAGGGCCCCAGGCCACTGAGCACCGAAGTGAGCAGCTCAAGGTCACAGCCCTGAAGCAAGAAACGTAGGAAGCCATTCTGTGTGGCCAGAGGGGAATGAACAGCTGCACCAGGCCCCACCTCAAAGCGAAGGCCTACAGCTGGCCTGATGTGGCCAGTCTTCAAAGTTGAGGCTTCCTGAAAGCTTGTGCCTTTGAGTAGAAAGACAGAAGGAAAACATATTAATTAATTACTAGCCAGTGATTGCTCTAAGCACTTTATATATATTTAATATTCCTAACAACCCTGGGCCAGAAGTATTATTATCATTCCCATTTTAGAGATGAAAGAACTACGGCACAGAGAGTAACTTGCCCAAAGTAACACAACTTGTAAGTAGCAAGGATACGATTTGCACGCAGGCAGCCTGACTGCAAAGACTGGGCTTGGCTACTTTGCTCTAATGCCTCTCATGACAGAAGGGATGTAAAGGACCAATAAAAAGCTGGTCTTGCTATGAATCAGAGGCACTGGGCTGATGGCCAAGGTAAAGCTCTTAAAACAGAGGACCCTTGGGAATTCCCTGGTGGTCCGGTGGTTAGGACTCAGCGCTTTCACTGCTGTGACCCAGGTTCAATCCCTGGTCAGGGAACTAATATCCCGCAAGCCACACAGCACAGCCAAAAACAAACAAACAAGCAAACAAACAAACAGAGGACCCTCAACTCTGCTAAATTTGATCATCTCTTCCTTTCTCCAAGTCTTGGTCTTCTCACCTCTCTCTGAGGAAGCCAAGTGGGATCTATGCTAATTTACTCAAAACTGCATAAAGAATAATCTCAGGTGTAGCCAAGGCTATGAAACAACTTACAAACCTATATAAATGCAAATTGGTACAACCATTCTGGAAAACAAATTGGCGTTATCTACTAAGGTTAAAGCTATACCTACCCTAATGACCTAACAATTATTTCCTCAGGAACATAAACCTGGAGAAACTCTCCAACATACATATCAGGAGACACATACAAGGATGGGCACATCAAGACAGCCCTATTTGAAATAGCAAAAAAACTGGAAACAACCCAAATGTCTGTTCAGAATAGACTGAAGAAGTAACTAGAGTAATGGGTACAAGAGATATTTTGGGGGTGATGGTGATGGTTGTAGAACCCTGTAAGCTTACTAATATTAATCAGATTGTATACTTACAAGGAGTGAATTTCATAATACGCATAAGTAGTTTTTAAAAAAGCAAAAAGTGGTATATTTCTACAATAGAATATTATATAGTAGTAAAAATGAATAAATTATAGCTAACTCAACAACCTAGAAGAATCTGAAGAATATCATGGTACTTGAAATCACAAAAGAATACAAACTATGATTCCATTTAGAAAAACTTGAAAAACTGCAAAGCTAAATAATACATTGATACAAACACATGCAGAAGAATTGTAAAGCAAGAGAATGAGAAATACAAAATTCAGGACAGTGATTCCCTATGATAGGTGAGAGGCAAGAGGAAGGTTCTGGAGAGGGACTCCTGGGGACTTCAAAGTTAATGGTACTGTTCTAGTTACTAAACTAGATAGTGGGTACATGGGTTCATTGTACTGTTGTTATTTTATACCTTATATATATTTTACAAGTATTCTTTAGTATCTACTCAATATTTTAAAAAAATTTTTTAAACAAAGCATGTAGCTTAAGCCCAGATTTTTCCTGTCATCTTTTAAAGTATAAATGATAATTCACATCAAAGGACTGAATCAGAAGTTCCCTGATCAGATATAGCTTGATGTTAGCAGCCTCACAAAGAAGTGGACACAGTCCTCATGTATAAGCATACGGAGCACCTGGGAGGTGAGGACACAGACTAGCCTACTGAGTACAAAACCCCAGAAAGAGCTCTGGGAGGCTCCTTGCAAGAAGGAGGCTTCATTAGACTTCTTCCTCCCCCTAATGGCTGCTGGAGAGAAGCGCCAAGGGCTTGGCACTAAGGTAGCTGCCCTTGGAGCACAGTGACAGGAGCAAGTTAAGCTATGGATGCCCCAGAAAAATCCCACCAGCTCTCCTGCAATCCCACCATCCTCACCTGGGCACTGTCCATGCAGGAACTGCCAGAGTCCCACGGTGCCTAGCTGCTGGAGGGTCAGCTCCTCTGCTTGCAGGGCCACAGTCAGGTCCTCACCACGTACCTCAATCCCCAAAGACACCTCATTCACCTTCAAGACCAGAACTGAGACCTGTAAAAGGAGACTCCCTTAGCTGAGTCCCAAGCTTCCAGCTTAGAGCCTACCCTCTGCAGAGAAGAAAGTAGAACAGCTGACCAGGTGAAGATGGAGGTCTTCCCCACTGGGTGAGGCTGAACTCTTGGCCTCTGGTGACCCCTGGCCATAACTATCCACAACAGGGCTCCCTTGAACACCAGCACTGTCTAAGACATTAGGAAGAGATCCTGGTGGAAGAGATTCTGGACCAGACTCTGCATAAGAAAGATAACAAAAGAATTTGAGAGTCAAAAAATTCTATTCAAATCCAATCTCTAAAAACAGTGACAACTGTAAAAACAAAACATTTGTGACACTCATGAGACAACTGGAAATTTGAAGACTAACTAGATATTTAATGAATTTAGGGAATTATTGTTAATTTTTAAAAGGACGATGGTATTTGGTCACCTTAAAAAAAGTCTGTAAATGGAAGCAAACTAAGTGTCTATGGACAGATAAATGGTTAAACAAAATGTGGTATAAACATACAACAAATAATGGTCTTAAAAAGGAAGGAAATTCTGACACATGCTACATACAACGTAAATGAACCTTAAGGACATTTTATGTGAAATGAAACAAGCCAGTCACGTATGGTTCCATTTATGTGAGGTACCCAGACGGTCAAATTCATAGAGACAGAGAGTAGAATGGTGATTGCCAGGGGCTGGTGGAAGAGGGAATGAGGAGTTATTGTTTAATGGGTATAGAGTTTTGCAAGATGAAAGAGTTCTGGAGATGGAGAGTGGTGACGGTTGTGCAATGATTTGAAGGTAATTAATGCTACTAAATTATAGTTTAAAATAGTTAAGATGGTAAATTTTATGTTATGTGTATTTTACCATAATTTTAAAAATTTTTTAATATTTAAAAAATTTGTATTTTCTAGAGATGCATAATGAAAATACTTATGGATAAAATGATATGTTTAGGATTTGCTCCAAAATAATATGGGAGGAAGGGAAGTGGGCAGAAGAATATATAAAACAAGAATGGCCATGAGTTCTTAATATCTGAAGCTAGGTAATGGGTATATGAAGGTTCACTATTTGATTCTATTTTTTTTTTTTTTTGCGGTACGCGGGCCTCTCACTGTTGTGGCCTCTCCCGTTGCAGAGCACGGGCTCCAGACGCACAGGCTCAGCAGCCATGGCTCACGGGCCCAGCCACTCCGCGGCATGTGGGATCTTCCCGGACCAGGGCACGAACTCGTGTCCCCTGCATCGGCAGGCGGACTCTCAACCACTGTGCCACCAGGGAAGCCCTGATTCTATTTTTAAACATTTGGATTTTCCCATAAGAAATTAATAATAATAACAAAACAAACATAGATATATACCATCCAGCTTAAGAAACAGTACATTCTCTTTTTATTTTCATTTAGATACTCTTAAGGGGCGATTTTAAAAGTTTTCATTTCAATAAGCTGAAAGAACTAGTGTTAACTCCTAGTGGTGATTAATCTAATGCCTAAAGGTTACTTGTTTTATCATAGACAAAAAGCTCCTAGTTATTTTCCAACAATAAAATACATAGTTTAGGCAAAAAGCGGACAACAAACACACACACCATTGATACAGCCACAGAATTAGTCTTACTGCCACAGCTACATGGCTGTAAGACGAGCGTTCTCTTCTTTGAATGTTGTTCTGTGATAAAGGTCAAGTACTAATCAATAACCTAGAAGATGTGGGGATAAAGTCAGAGCCACAAATCCACTAAAATTTCTCTCTTCTTTTGGTTTTTTGATTAAGAAAATGTCTACTTTATCAAATCTCAGCTCCTTTTGCATCCTGCTGGTCTGAATACAGGCATCAGAAAGAACACTCTACAACTCTGCCCAGCTCTGCTTCCACCTACCAGACTCCAAGAGCATCACAAAGCTCTCACTGCCATCACTGTCCACTGAAATCCGGTCTTCAGGGCCACTGTTATCCAATGAGACACCATCAAATGACTGCTGAGATACTGTCCTCTTCATGGAGAAAAATCGGAGTCGGGCAGCACCTCCACCTACTGGGGCTGCCACCCCCTCATCTATCTTGGCCATGGGCTCCCTGTTTAAAAAACAAAAACAAAACCCATAAATGTGGCTTAGGAGGTATGTTGTTCCATTCCCTTGCAATACCCATCCTTTTCAGCCCAGACCATTATTGTATACGTAAACTTTGATGTCAACTATTACCCGCTACAAGACCACTTTTCAACTGCTGGCCTTTCTGAATCCCCATATTCCAGCATTTCAAACTGCATAGTCAGTTCTCCCATATCAAATGTCAAGGTTATTCAGGGTCATCCCATGTACAGAAGAGACCAACTACCTACAGCCCTGGTGCTTATGAATGGTACCTGAAACCCATGTTCATTCCTCGAGTACTTACTGAATAACCTCTGCATACAAGGCACCATACAAGGCACCGGGCAGTGGTGGGGAGTGATGAATAAGACATCCCCTGTCCTCAAAGAATGTACATTCTATCAGGAGAGAGGAGACTTATACACAAATAACCTTATATGGTAGTAAGTCACACACACCGTAAGAGGGACAAGGATACAAGCCAAAGGCTAGGCAATACCAAAGAGGGGAAAGGATGAAGAGAATGGCTCTGTGGAAAGAGATTATGTTTGAGGTAGTCCTTGAAGGACTGTGAAAGAGATGACGAAGAGGGCCTTCCATGGGAAAGAAACAGCATGAGCAAAGGCATGGAGCCAGAAAACGAAATGTACCTTTGGAGACTAGTAGAGCTCAGCTCAGCTAGAGCGTAAGTTTTGTCGGGGGAGAGCAACAGAAGATAAAGTTAGAAAGGTTTCTTTAAAGAAACCTTTAAAGACCTTATGTGCCCACCCTCTGATTTTATTTATAGGTGAAGAAACTGACTCAGTCCCAGTTAAAGGTAGAATTAAGAAGAACCCAAGTCTCCTAACGTCTTGCTAAGTGCTTTTTTCACTTTACCACATGAGTGGCAGCCAGATTATAGAAAACCCTGGACAAAAGATAATGCATGAAAGTGCTCTGAAAACTGTGAAGTGCAGGAGGCATACAGGAAATCTCTGTACTGTCTACTCAATATTGCTGTGAAGCTAAAACTGCTCTAGAAAATAATCTATTTTAAAAAACTGTAAAGTGCCATATGGATATATCATAATAACTGATTATGCCACACTAAGAAGTTCAAACTCAATTCAGGGAGAATAAAGAAAAAGCCAGAAGGCTTTAGAAAAGGGAAATAACAAGATCATACCTGTAGTTTAAGAAGTTTGACCTGGGACTTCCCTGGTGGCGCAGTGGTCGAGAATCCGCCTGCAAATGCAGGGGACATGGATTCGAGCCCCGATCTGGGAAGATCCCACATGCCGCAGAGCAACTAAGCTCGTGTCCCACAACTACTGAGCCTGCACTCTAGAGCCCGTGAACCACAACTACTGAGCCCACGTGCCACAACTACTGAAGCCCACACGCCTAGAGCCCAAGCTCTGCAACAAGAGAAGCCACCGCAACGAGAAGCCCACGCACCACAACGAAGTGTAGCCCCCGCTCACCGCAACTAGAGAAAGCCCGCGCGCAGCAACAAAGACCCAATGCAGCCAAAAATAAACAAATTAATTAATTAATTTTTAAAAAAAGAAGTTTGACCTGCCTTTTCCAAATATGCTAGAGAGGGAAAGATATCCAATGAGGAAATCAACTAATAGTTCACTAAAATAGTCCACATGTGGGAGCAGACAGGAGAAACAGATGTTGAGACTCCCTAGAGCTGTGCTCCCAGCGTCATCCTCATAGGAACATTATCATCTAAAGGGGAACTCATTAGAAATGCAGCTTCTCAGGCTCCACCTCAGACCTACTGGGTGAGGAACTCTGGGGACAGGGCTCAGCACTCTGTGTTTTAACAAGCCTCCAGATGATTCTGAAGCATGCTTAAGTTTAGAAGTATGGTCAGAACCTGACAAATGCCTGGAAGAGGCAGAGCTTGAATGAGCAAAGGAATGATGCCACCAAAAAAAGAAAGAAAAAGAGAACTGGCCGGGAGAGGGAGGAATAAGGAATTTATTCTTTTATATATGTGAGGTTCAAGGCACCCCTGGGAGATCAATGTGGAGCTATGGGCAGTAGATAGTTTTAAAGCAAGAGCAGGGGAGGGGAGGGAAGTCAGGACTGAAAATAAGGACTCTCGCAGACGTGAGGAGATGGACAAAATAACCTAGAGCGAAAGTACAGCTGATCCTTGAACAACACGGGTTTGAACTGCACAGGTCCATTTATATGCAAATTTTTTCAAGAGTAAATACTATAGTACTGCACAATCCACGGATGGTTGAATCTGTGGATGCGTTGGAACCACTTATATGCAGGAACCTCTTATAGGTAAGGCCAACTATAGGTTACATGCAGATTTTCACCTCCACAGAGATTCATTTCTCCTAATCACCACATTGATCAAGGGTCAAATGTATTCAAAAATGCATTTGAGTGATATAAACCTTCTGAAAGTTTGGCAAATACATCAAGAACCTTAAAATGTTTGTAGTGTTTGACCCAATAATTCCACTTCTGGGTTCTATTCTAAAAATTTAGATATGCATAAAGAGTAAAAAAAAAAAAAAAAAAAAAAGAGTAATGTTCACAAAAATAGGGACGTTTAACACAGCCTTGGTTTTACCTGAGAAAAAATTGGAAACAGACTAAATGATGCCCCCCAGAGAGTGGACTCGATGAATAACTTATGATATACCCATCTGCAAGAATATAATAGAGCAATTAAAAATTATATGTTAAAAAAAAAAAAAAAAAAAAAAAAAAAAAAGAGTAATGTTCACAAAAATAGGGACGTTTAACACAGCCTTGGTTTTACCTGAGAAAAAATTGGAAACAGACTAAATGATGCCCCCCAGAGAGTGGACTCGATGAATAACTTATGATATACCCATCTGCAAGAATATAATAGAGCAATTAAAAATTATATGTTCAAATACCTCATGAATGGGGAACTATTCACAATAAATCATAAAGAGAATAAAACTGGAAATTTTCTATATTATATAGAAATAATACAAATACACAAATATTATAAAATATTTGTGTATTTTATATGAGTAGGCACATATAAGCATTCGCATGGATACACAAATATGTATAGAAAAATTGGAAGCAAACAGATGCAAATGTAAATAATGGCTATCTCTGGATTGTGTCATTACAAGTGACTGTTAACATTTTCTTCTTTATTCTTTTATTTTTCCACATTGTCAACGAAATGAACACAAATCATTTTTATAATTTAAAAAATAAATATTATGACAAAAGTGATCAGAATATGGACAGCCTAGTGCTGTGGAACAGTTCCATTTACAGGATAAAAGGAAGAAGAGAGCAGCCAAGGGAAAAGAAAAGACTCCTTCCGAGAAGTGCGAGGAACTGGGTGGGTTACAAGTGCCCAGAATGAACTGACCAGCAAGGCTGACTGCACAGAGGAGTCCTGGAAAAAGATGACTGAGAAAAGGCCACTGGCCTGGGCAGTTAGGAAGTCAGTGTAGGTGTTTCAAAAAGAATTTGTATCACACACCTTTCTTTTCTCCTTTTTACCTCTCCTCTTTTCCCATCTCCCTTACTCTTCTCTAATTAGAAAAGGCAGCACATTAGGTGATTGGGAGTCCAGGCTTTCAATCCTCACCCCACCACTCACAAGCTGTGTGATCTTGAGCAAGTTTCTTACCTCTCTGAGCCTCAGTTTTCTCATCTGTAAAATGTGGAGTGATATTAGGACCTGCCTTATAGGGTTCTTACAATAATTCAATGCATTAATATTGTTAATATTTAGGACAAGGCCTGACACATAGAAAGTACTCAATAAATGTTGCCTAGTATTATTACATAATTAATCCTTTAAGCTTTCCTCCTCTTTCCTCCTAGGCTATCTAGGCCTAGCAGGTACTAGTATACCCGCAGGCATTGCTTTGAGACACACTTAAGAAAATCCACTTAGACAAAAGTTCTAAAGCCACTGATCTTCAAACCATGGTCCCCAAACCACTAAGTGTCCCCGCAAAGATTTCCCATAGTTTTCATTATCTTTCCTAAAACCACAGGCACCCATGGAAAAATCTATACCTTCCCACTCTTCTGACTGTGCATTTCTGTGTTTTCTGCTTACTCCCCACTGTAGCCCCGGCGTCTAACACAGAGCCTGGCACACAGTAAGGGCTCAAAAAATACTTGTTGAACGGATGAATGAAATTCTTCCTTCTCTATTACTCGGACAGATATCGATAAGGTGTACCAGAAAGAGCAAGTCCAAAGCCCCAGCTTTTCTAGTTATAAGATACAGGATCCATGGGCTCATCCTCTCTGAAGCTTCCATTTCCTCAGTTATAAACTGGGGATACAAACATCTGCAGTGACCTCCCCGAGCTGCTGTGGGGATTACATCAAATAAAATACTATATGAGAGCCCACTGAAAAGAATAAAATATCATACAGATGCCAGGTACTATTATTCTGATACAGCATAGCTGTATCAATAACAGTGAATCAGTGAAAGAGGAGACAGCTTGATGCTAAGAAGCAATAAATGTTGACTTGAAAACTGCCCAAGACCAGGCTAAGATATATGGAGGCATGAGAAAATCCATGGCATTTTGTTATCTTACTGCAATTTCTGGTTCTTCCCCTATCACAGAATTAGGTGTAGTCCTGAAAGTAAAGTCCCTCTGACTGGTATGCCTATATCCTCTAAGTAGCCTGAAAGTTCTTCCGCTGCTCTACAGGCAGCTCTGAAAACTAAAGGCTTTGCCACATTAACTAGGCCATTCCATATACGCTCCTGGACCACGCGGCACTTCCCAATCTACAAGTGCACATGGCAGGAGGCCTGAGCCCAATGGCCAGAGCTAGGAGGGAGAAGAGGAGGTGAATGAAGGAGGCAGAGAACCACTCACTTGGCTGGGGGCAGAGACAGCATCTTGTGCATGGTGGAGGTCATTCGGTCTCTGCCCAGACTGAAGGCATCCTTAGTCAGGGACATAGCTTCCTTGGTGAGGTCCATGGTGGCATGTAGAGCCTCCTTTGTGGCATCCTTGGTCATGTGAATAGCACTTGATAATTCTCCCTCAATGTTCTTCAAGGGGATGAGCTCGCCCTGTCCATTCACAGCAGTATCCTTACCCCCTGGGGGCTTCAACTCAGCTGGTGAGCTAGGTGCCTGGGCGCTGCTCAGTCTCTTGTCCTGTAAGGAATCAACTGCCTCATGGCCCTTCCCTGCCTCCTGCTGTGCAAGAGAATCTGAGTCCTGGACTTCTCCATTGCTATGGAGAGGCAGTGGCCTATCCTGGGATGCATTCAGATTTTCAACGTCACTGTCCTCCAGAACCTTCCTGGGGCTTGCTGGGCCCTGTTCTGAGGAGGCATCAGACTTCAGCTCCCTATCCTCTGAAGGAGACAGCTCTGAATCTACAAGGCTCGTAGTATCTGAACCCTCAGAGTCAGCTTCAACAGCCCCAGGGACAGGATGCATGAGCAGAGCCACCTCAGCACTGGGGAAGAGGACGCCAATGCAAGCTGTCTGGTCCTGCAGAGGAGACCCAGTCATGGCCTCGGTATCCTTAGTAAGCTGCTCCCGAAGACCCTGGAGCACCTCCTTCAGGCGGAGGAGAGCCAAGTACTGGTAGTGGTCAAGCCTCACTCGGACATGCTCAGGCGAGTGCACGAGCACATGCACATCTGCCGCGTCCTCCAGCTCTGTCAGAGGCCCTTTGTTATCCACACTACTGCTGCCTTCTTTCAGAATTTCCATGACTTCTGTAAGGCCTGATAGGCTTTTCAAATCATGCTCAGTCTTTGACCTCTGATGGGACACAGTGTCAGGGGCAAGGGCCTCAGAATGGACAGGACTGCCAAAGCTGGCGGATGCTTTCAGCCTCCCTTCTGTGGCCATAAGGAGCTTTCGTGCCTGGGCTTGCTGCCAGCGGAGGGGTAGGCAGGCCCAAATCGACAAGGGGAAGGGGGCCACAAAATTCAAGGAATGGCCTTTGAAGTTCTCTGTTCCCTCAAAGTCCAAGGAGATCTGGGTGAAGTGGATGGACCAGAGATCCTGGGAAGCCTTAAGCCTCTGGGGAGGGAGGGCACTAGACTGAGGGAGTCGGGAATCCACCTGGAAGGCGTGATGCAAAAACAGCATGTGCAGAAGGCTAAAGCCGCCTGGCACCTTGGGAAACTGAACATAATTGGAATGAAAGAACTCAGCAGCAGCAAAACCCCGGAAGAGACTCTGGAGGTCTGGACAGCTACAATGTGGGGCGTGACGTGTATTGGTGGCAGTCACACCTGATGCAGAGAAGACAAGGGCCTGGGGACGGTGCAGCCCAGCCCGCTCTCTCTTCTCCAGTGGGAAGCTCACCTTCAGAGAGAAAATGAAACCCAATTCAGAATGGCCAGCTGAGCAACTCTGCAACCCACCATTAATACACACGTGAAAGACCATTTGGGCTGTAAAACTGCTTTCCTTACTTCTATCAAATGGACAAAGCAGAACCTTGGATTATAGCCATGGTAGAAGTGCAGCTGTGGCTGCCAACAGGGAACAAAAGTCCCACTCTCTACCCTACCTTCAACCAGAAGGCATCCAGTCGGATGTCCAAGTGTTCATCTTTCTGGCTTGAATCTTCCAGCTTGTAGATAGCTTTGAACTGCTCCAAGCTGCGGTATAAATCCAGGCAGAAGAGGTTTCCCCAGAGCAAGCTGACAGGATCCATAGTAAATGTCAGACCATTTAACTGAATGTAAAGATTGGGACAGGGAACTGGAAAGCAGAGAAAAAAAGAAACCATGAATGAAGTAGCAGCTCAACTCTCACTTATCAGCTAATATTCATTCTATTATCAAAGGTATATATTTACACAGGGAAGAGTTTTCAACAAAGGTGTGCTAAACTAACTCAAACACTTAAAACTCCAAATGACAAACAGAATATAAGCAGAGAGCCCCCGAGGCTGACAAATGCGAAGAGCAAGAGCAAGACAGTAAGGACTGACCAGAGCAGATGCTTACCTGGCAGCTCCTGATTATCGGGGAAGTAATACTCTGTGAACTCAATATGAATGGCAGAGACCTGAGTGGGGAGGTTGTGAAGCTTCCGACTGCAGGAAAGGAGTGTCGATGGCTTCTTACTTGGCTGCCCAGCTGTAGAAACCTATGCAATCACGAGTTGCTGTTAGCATCTATACAGCACCCAGAATAGAATTTCCTCAATTTCCTCTGAGATAGGAGGATAAAGCCTCTACAACTCTTCCAAAGTCTGTCACAGGGAGCAGAGTGCTCTTCACGCAGATTCCAGGCATTCTCACACCTGACTAACACTATCTACGAGTTCGTTTTTTCAGTGAAAGGTTTGTAGTGGGGTATTCAGAGGAAAGTGGGGAATCCCAAGTCCTGATCTCAGAAGTCACACTCAGAAAGAAACAGACCAAAGGGTCAAATCCCCCTGGAAGGGAAGGAAACAGCCTCCAAATTCTACAACCTTGATCACATTTGTTGCGTTCCAAATGAACTGCTCCACCCCTTTCCAGCCCTGTTTCCCTGTGTCGTGGGCTCCTTACCTGGTGGACGTCCAAGTCATCCACTCGTATTACCAAGCAGCTAGAGCGTAGGCGATTCCATGCTGGAGGCCGAAAGACAGCCTGTCGGCCCTGAGAGGGGCTTCTCTCAAGGGGGTTCTTTCGAGGACTGGAGAGAGAATCTAAATAAAAATAAGGAGGTGGGAAAAAGAATCAGATACACTCAACTATCATCATTAATAGAATTCAGAAAGTAAAAACCCTAAGATCATTAACACTGTATGTAGGAAAGAGTTTAACACTGGCAAGCTCCAGGATGGAACTCAAAAATTATTCTCTCCTTAAGACCAAGGCAATGGCCTATTGAATAGAGAAGCTAACAACCTCTCTTCCACACTGCAGCTATCCCTGGAGACAAACAGGACTCCGTAAAGAAAAAAGTCACGGATGTCTCTCCGTGGGATAAAGCTGGAATAATCAGCTGGGAGTAAGTTGGGATAATTAGCCAGTCCAGTGCTTTATCGCCACTGGACACTCAAAGGTAAATGTCAAGAGGCAAAGCAACAGGAGTCCTCCAGCTCCTCATAACCCACCTGCTTTCCTCCGGAAGGGAGAGTCTACCCCCAGGTGCCAGGGTGGTTTCAGACCTGTCTCCTCGTGCCACTTCTCCATTTTACTCTGAAATTCCATCACCAGCTTCTGGGCCCACTGGCCTCGGGTCTCCATGGCCTCACAGTGACGTACCCAATGTTTGCAGCTATCGCCTGTGCGATAAAGCAAAAAGATTTTAGTCTAAGATCATGATCCAATGTTACAAATTTTCTTTTCCATTGGTATAGTTTTCCATAATTTAGAATCTGATTCCTCACCGCCAATCCAAAATTCTCTGGGATAAGTAAAAATTATCTAGTGAGAGCACTCAAGTTCTTCTGGATTCTATATGTGATTTTTCCCTAAAGGCCAGCTGCCGACTTTTGCCATCTTTGACCATGGACCACTGGAGAGGCTCTAAAACTAGTGCAAGTAAAGGGTAAAGCACAGAATCAAAAGCAACATCTCAGACAATGCCTCCCCTCCTACTGCTTCTCATCAACAGTGGACCCTGCAAGTTTCCAGAAGATGTCCTCCTGAAAAGGACTATTGCCAACACCTCTCTGAGCATGTGCTGCAATCCCTGGCACCCTTCTGCTGGGCAGTCAGGGATGAACCCAGGCATATGGCCTCAATACCTAGGCCAGGCTAAAACTGCACCCATTCAGAATTCTCCTACCTGCCCAGTGGAAGGGGTAATAGTCAAATGCCATCTTGCGAAAGGTAAGCTGCATTGCACCACCCATGAGTCTGTTTGTGGAGACACCTACAAAGAAAAATAAAGGTGAACAGCAGCAGAAGAAACAGAGGCCTAAACACCACTTGAAGCACTTAAAAGTCCTCCTAAGGGTCAGCTCCAAAGCCTGGCTGATACATAAGTGCAGCCGAAAGGCCATAACGTCAGGTGATTTGCAAGGCTGAGGCCCTCCTCTTTTGAACTGCAATGGACATGCTCTAAAAGATTTTTTTAAAAAAGCATATTCCACTGTCTCTGTAAATGGGTGTCAGATTTCCGGAAAGACAAAAGAAACTGCAAACCTCAGGATTCTGGAATTCCAGTCCTAGGTCTCCCACAGGCACACTTGACAACCTTGATTGACTGGTTCCCCCAAACCTGGCAATACTAGTATTGCTGTCCCTCAGCACAACACCAGGGGAGGCAAAAGCCAAACTCCCCCAAAAACAGGACCCATATTACTTCCTTTCATATATTAGCTAAAGCTGTGATATAAGACTGTCATTACACACTGTACATATGAAGTACCATGGAACACAAAAACACTGCACTAACAAGGACATTATAAACATACAGAATAGTGTAGATAAACAATTTTTTTGCAATAAGTCAAATATTCTATTGTTTATCTTGAATTTACATTTAATTCTTACTAAATGAATTAACTTTCCATGTATCTGTCTTATCTCTCCAGCTAGACTCTAAGAACTGTAAGAACAAGGACTATTTCTTCTACGTATGTGTGTTGTCTAACCTACCCTGTTCTGCACTTCCCTCCTATCCCTTCCATCCTATTCCCAGGTGAAGGGAAATACCATGGGACCTTCTAGCTGTAAGCTGGTACACCTACAACCAGGAGGGTCATTTCCATCCACTCTAGATATCACCACGCCAAGGTTCTGGACTAATCACCATCCTATTAGGAGATACACCTACACCTGTGTTCCTGTTGCTCAACCTTTTTGTCATAATTATCACCTCATAGGAGCCTGTTTAGCTAGTTTTTTCCTAATTGTCCCTTCTCCATGAAATTTAATACCACAGACATACTGTATATCTTATGTACTATATGTCTACCAGTGCTTTATACATAAAAAGAATAAGAATAAAGCTTATTCCTTTTATTCAATGCCAGGTTAAGAAAGACTAAATAATTCTTTTAAGTTAAAAGTTAGGGACTTCCCTGGTGGCACAGGGATTAAGAATCCGCCTGCCAATGCAGGGGACACGGGTTCGAGCCCTGGTCCGGGAAGATCCCACATGCCATGTGGCAACTAAGCCCGTGCACCACAACTACTGAGCTTGCACTCTAGAGCCCACACACCACAACTACTGAAGCCCACATACCCTAGAGCCCAGGCATCACAACTACTGAGCCCACACACCACAACTACTGAAGCCCGTGCACTCTAGGGCCCACGTGCCACAACTACTGAGCCCACATGTTGCAACTACTGAAGCTCGCACGCCTAAAGCCCATGCTCCACAACAAGAGAAGCCACTGCAATGAGAAGCCCAAGTACCGCAATGAAGAGTAGCCCCCCGCTTGCTGCAGCTAGAGAAAGACCAGCACATAACAACGAAGACCCAATGCAGCCAAAAATTTTTTGAAAAAGGTTAAAAAATAAAGTGTGAAAAGTTAAATTTAAAATTTTAAAGCTATTAATATTTAACTTAAGTTGTTTTTTTTTTTTTTCCTGGGTTTTTTGCGGTACGCGGGCCTCTCACTGCTGTGGCCTCTCCCGTTGTGGAGCACAGGCTCCGGACGCACAGGCTCAGCAGCCATGGCTCATGGGCCCAGCCGCTCCACAGCATGTGGGATCTTCCCGGACCGGGGCACAAACCCGTGTCCCCTGCATCGGCAGGCAGACTCAACCACTGCGCCACCAGGGAAGCCCTTAACTTAAGTTTATAACTATATCTGATGAGTAACTTTTATATATATATAAATTTATTTATTTATTTTTGGCTGCAATTGGTCTTTGTTGCTGTGCGCAGGCTTTCTTTAGTTGTGGCGAGTGGGGGCTACTCTTCAATGTGGTGTGTGGGCTTCTTATTGTGGTGGCTTCTCTTGGAGCAGAGCACCGGCTCTAGGCGAATGGGCTTCAATAGTTCTGGCACGCGGGCTTCAGTAGTTGTGGCTCACAGGCTCTAGAGCGCAGCCTCAGTAGTTGTGGTGCACGGGTTTAGTTGCTCCACAGCATGTGGGATCTTCCCGGACCAGGGCTTGAACCCGTGTCCCCTGCATTGGCAGGAGGATTCTTAACCACTGTGCCACCA